ACACATGCATATATAACATGCAGGAGGAAACACTTACTCATGTCAGTCACTTTTCACAGAGCATCTCAAAAGAGAGCCAGGAAGAGAAAGAGAGAAGAGGAATGAAATGAGTGCTCACTTTCAGATAGTGGATAGTCTTTATATCATTATTTAACTAATTTAATACTTTCATCTGCCAGTAAGTGTACTCTGAGCTTTGCTTAATAAGTTTTACCATGTTTAAATGCCCTTTGCATAAAAGTATAGCAGATTTTTCCACAAGAAACTGAAAATGTATGCTTGTATGTAACACCAGATACATTCAGACCCCCACTCACATACAAGACATCATCACCTGAGACAGACAACACATACCTGATCTCCCCACAGACAGCATGCTAGGAAACACTAGCAGCCATGCCTGAGGGAATGTGATATAAGTAACGTACACAAATGCATGATTCATGATCGTAATTTTGCATAAACCCTTCCGTTGACGGCTGTGTCCATTTGTCATGTCTCTGGCTATGGGCACACATGCACACGCAGAGAGTGCATCAATCAAAGATTACGCCTAGACTGCATAGTGAGAGAGAAACAACGAAAAACCGACAGTGTGAGGGCAAAAAAAAAAGGAGGAAACGGGTACGAGGGTGGCCTTGTATAAGTAGACAGCAGGGCTGACAGCAGTTCTCCTGTTTCAGTGTATGGGAGTCTGTCATTACCAGCACCTGTGTGTCTGTCAACACAACACCAGTCAGAGGCCATTGTAGCTCAGGGATGCAAAGAAAACATTAGCAGGTGCTAATGTGTGTGGGAAAGAGGGAAGGAAACAATAAAGGTATAGTTTCATATCGCTAATATATGTTTGGCTAGAAGCAGTATTTGACTCCGTCCCCTCTATAGATTGACTGCTGCTGTCAGATTCCAGGACTTTGTCATTTCTGTCATTCCTCTCGCTTCCCCTTTCCCTCTGCCTTAGAGGACCAGTGGGAAATCACCATTCTTCAGCTTCATCTCAGCCTGCTCCCTAATGTCCTCACAGTAATTGGACTTCTCAGTCCTGTTACGCCTTTTAGTTTGCATTAGCAGGTGCTAATGTGTGTGGGAAAGAGGGAAGGAAACAATAAAGGTATAGTTTCATATCGCTAATATATGTTTGGCTAGAAGCAGTATTTGACTCCGTCCCATCTATAGATTGACTGCTGCTGTCAGAGTCCAGGACTTTGTCATTTCTGTCATTCCTCTCGCTTCCCCTTTCCCTCTGCCTTAGAGGACCAGTGGGAAATCACCATTCTTCAGCTTCATCTCAGCCTGCTCCCTAATGTCCTCACAGTAATTGGACTTCTCAGTCCTGTTACGCCTTTTAGTTTTTTTTTTTTCTGTGCTTTTTGATCATTTTGGCATCTTCATGGTTAACACTCTCCTCTTTGTGCTTGGAACTTCATCTATAATGACCAGTGGGTCTTCTGTCTCAAATCCCATATGATATACATCTGTTCATCTGTTATAAGGGTTTCATGGCTCCTAGTTTCCTGATGGTTTGGATTAAACAAGTTGGCCAATCAGAAGCCGGGAAAAGGAGACGCCCATGGGCAACAATAAATAAAAACATTTGTAACTAACTGTTTTTTATTATTACTGTTTTGCAATTTCTCATGATAAACTGAGAGATGATGTGGTATGTGGTTGATAATGTGTTCTGAGTAGTTTTAGCATTTTCTAGGTGGTTAAGTCAAAATATATAACCATATATCCATTGACTTATCTATATATCAACCACAGTTTCTTCTTTCAATGCAAGTCTAATGGTTTTATTTGCCAAAATGCCATCAAAAACTGTGAGTTTCAAAAGTACCATATTGACCCGAATATAAGACAATGTTTTACATATGAAAAAACACGGTCGTCTTATATTCAGGGTCTAGACTTTGACATGTCAATAATACACCCACAACAATAGGTGGCACCAAATATGCATAAAACAAGTCTACCATGAAATACGTAATGTGATGCGTGTTGTAAAGATTGTGAGTAAGAACAAAAGAAAAAGAAAACCTTACAGCTGCATGAGTCATGACTGTCACGTTAGCCTGATGGGACCAAACTCCCGTTGTGATTTTAAAACGTTAAGACAGTACCCAGATTTGAAGACTACAGTAAAATTTAACTTCTACTGTTAATAAGATTTTGGTAGGCTACTATTATATGGATAGCCTAAATGTCCTAATTCAGATGGGCTACCAGTTTTTTAGTTTTTTTTAATGGTATATCAAAAAGTGTATATTTTTTTTATGTGATTGTTGGTAAATTTTACCAGTTTTTACCATACTTTCAAAACAAAAATTAAAATAGGAAAAATATGCAATATGAAAATTATTGAAGACAAAATGTGTTTTACTGAGAAAAAACAAGATTTGTTTTTTAAAAAGCCTTTTTCCAAAAGGTACATCTGGAAAAAGGGGGGTCGTCTTATAATCAGGGACGTCTTATATTCGGGCCAATACGGTAATAGCACACCTCTGAAATACAATAAAATAGAAATTGAAATGTTGCCTTGCCAACTACAGGTGCATCTCAATAAATTAGAATGTCGTGGAAAAGTTCATTTATTTCAGTAATTCAACTCAAATTGTGAAACTCGTGTATTAAATAAATTCAGTGCACACAGACTGAAGTAGTTTAAGTCTTTGGTTCTTTTAATTGTGATGATTTTGGCTCACATTTAACAAAAACCCACCAATTCACTCTCAACAAATTAGAATACTTCATAAGACCAATAAAAAAAAAAACATTTTTAGTGAATTGTTGGCCTTCTGGAAAGTATGTTAATTTACTGTACATGTACTCAGTACTTGGTAGGGGCTTCTTTTGCTTTAATTACTGCCTCAATTCGGCGTGGTATGGAGGTGATCAGTTTGTGGCACTGCTGAGATTCGTAAGGCCGTTCTCTCGGTTGGTTGTGCATCTTTTTCTTCCACACTTTTTCCTTCCACTCAACTTTCTGTTAACATGCTTGGATACAGCACTCTGTGAACAGCCAGCTTCTTTGGCAATGAATGTTTGTGGCTTACCCTCCTTGTGAAGGGGGTCAATGATTGTCTTCTGGACAACTGTCAGATCAGCAGTCTTCCCCATGTTTGTGTAGCCTAGTGAATCAAACTGAGAGACCATTCTGAAGGCTCAGGAAACCTTTGCAGGTGTTTTGAGTTGATTAGCTGATTGGCATGTCACCATATTCTAATTGGTTGAGATAGTGAATTGGTGGGTTTTTGTTAAATGTGATCCAAAATCATCACAATTAAAAGAACCAAAGACTTAAACTACTTCAGTCTGTGAGCATTGAATTTATATAAATAATACAAAAATAACACTGCCAAGAGTACAGTTTTGGAATATTTCACAAGCTTCTTGATGTATTTTTTTCTCAGAAGCACTGGGTGAGTTAGGTTATATCAGTGAATTGTGAGGACTCTCCCACACACTAAAGAAGTGATATAGTACACACTTCTTGCCCCCAGTCATCACACACACACACACACACACCACTTGGTTCTCATATACTGTGCTGTGTTGAAAAACTTTGCAGGCAGTGAAAGGGCAAGGTCACACACTCCATCATGAGGTCACTAAACAAAAGCAGATTTCTGTGATGCATGTCTGAATCTTCCTACTGACAACAGCTTTACACACTCCCACTTTTTCCCAAGGTTTCACTTGTCTTCTGTTTGAGCCCCACCTCAATTGCTCCATTCAGTTTCAATTTCAATTTGAAATGGAAAAAAATATACTGTATATTGGCATGATTAATATATATGCAAATTATAATAAAAATAATAATAATGTAAAAATACCATTAAAATAAGGCACAGTTTAATTATTTTAGTCTTTTCTAAATTTGCCATCTGCCTTTAACTTAGGAGATCTGTAGTTCTCTGACTTACTGTATTAAATTCAATATTGTGGTTGAAGCTTTTTCAGTGTTAATATCTGAATAGTATTTTAAATATTGGCACATATAAATGTTTCGCACACCAAAAAATTGCTTGTAGATTTGTGGTAATCTGAGAGTCGTGATGAAATTTGTGAAAAATTGAACAATTGCCCCGGGTCTCCTCTCTTTTTCACTAACCATATGCACAATGATTAATGACCACAGGTCCTCAGTTTATAGTTTTCTTCTTTTATTTTATGATATATTGGGGCGATTTACCAAATGTCAGAAGGTTTTTTTCTTCTCATTTTCCTAACCCATCTTTAATCTATATCTTCACCCTCCGTACGAGCCGGCCTAGCACGGACCTGACCCAGGCCAAGTGGCCCAGATGTCATTGGATCCTGAGATGGGTCAGGTCCTTAGGGTTCGGGCTTTGTTTCTGTGTGCAATGAAGCAGGACTCACCCTCTTCTAGTCTTTCTCCTCTTTCCTACTTCCTCTCTCTGGAGACAAAGACCCTGACAGAGGCTTGCATCTCTGAGGAAGGAGGAGAGATGGAGATTTGCTATCAAAGCTTGTCATCTTGTCCATCTTCGACCATCCCAAAATGCAGTGTCTGAAGAACATGGCATATTTCTGTGATACCCTGGGAGCTGCCTGCTGAAATACTAATGATCCATCTGACATACTGATGTAAACAGTGACAACACCCAAAAACATGTGGTTGCATCTGATTGAATGTCTTTATGTGACAACATTCAGTCCTATAGAGTGACAACTGATTCTTCAAACACTCTCACACTGTCTCACCAATGTCTGTGGTCTTTAACTCATTCTGGAGGAAACAGCGTTTCATGTTTGAATTTATGATGCAAACATTGGCGTCTATGTGTGTATTCAGTGGTGTGTGTATTTTGACAGTGATTAAGGTTGCAATCTCACTTGACCCCAGTAAGGAAGCTCTTAATGTGCAAGAGTTGTGCTTGTTTGTAAAGTTAGTTTGTTTTTGAATGAGTGGCCTCAGCCAAACCACCTCCTGAATAGTCGTAAATCTCTTTTTTTTCCCCCTCTCTCTGTTTCCTTAGGTTTTCCATGCAAACGTAGACCCCTCAGAGGTGGTCCTGAACCGGATCCCCCAGCCTGTCTTAGCTCGGTTTGTCCGCATCCGACCTCAGACATGGAAGAATGGAATCGCATTGCGCTTCGAACTTTACGGCTGTCAAATCACGGGTCAGTAAAACTCACTCCACACATCTTTCTCCAAGTCTGCACAGCCCTTAAGGGAACTGATTTGTGTTTTTTAACTTTTAGATATAAAATAATAAAATAGCCAGAAAAAGACAAACTTAGAATGTTGGATTGTCTCAAATTTAGCTAAAAAGTTGGGTGTTTAATTGGTTCGTTGATAGAAAGGTAGATATGTAGATAAAGATTTATCAATATTTACCTATCCTTAACTATATGATCTAAACATATAGATATAGATCTATAAGGTAAGTTTCCCTGTCTCATGTGAACTTTCGTACTCAGCAGGCCCACAGACACTACACGTGACAAATATTGTTCCAGATGCCCACTGTGTCCCTGTCAAGTGAGCTCAGATGTGTATTTATCAGAGGTCTTTAGTGTCCTGATTGAGTTTGGCTATTTATGGAGATGGGGAGATAGCAGTCACCTAATTCTGTTAGCATGTCCTGCAGCAGATGAAGGAGGTGAGCTGCTTTTGCACTGATGTTATCAGAGACATCACACTCCATCATTACGCTATTAAACAGTGATTCACTCCTATGTTCGTCGACACTGAGCAGGACAAATGCGCTTTTAGAGACGGGGTCTTTTTCAACACTGACACAAACGATGCACGGACACGCCGCTGGCCTCCATATTAGACCTGCTGCAGTCTCGGGGGGGCCGTTGTCCCTCGGGCATCCAGCCCAAAACAAGCCGGCAGAGCCGAGCCCATAAAGATGCCCGTGAAGCCATCGATCACGTTAGTGCCCTTACCCTCGTTCTGTGTTTTACTGCTCTTTCTGTGGGAGTGTGGGTGTACCTCTGGGTGTAATTCAACTGAGATTGTTAGGATGGGTTTGAACCAGATGCCCCAGCCTGTTTTTCTGTTCTTTGTTCTGTGTTTAAGCCATAGGCCAAAATCAATCATTTATTTCTGGTAACTTTTGTATTTGTGCCGGTTGAGCCAGAGAATGGCTGTCTTGGGCTGAGTGGGTTTGCTTTTAACTCTGTAAAGGTGAACCTAGAAAAACTGGAACGCGAAATTCTTCCTGTAATAAATCCTACACTCAAACACCCACTCCGGGCGGGATATACACACAAAAAAACGCACCCACCTATGCTCTGTTTATTTATTATTTACTCCTGAGCCCTCTCTCATGACATAACAACATGAAACGTTGATCTCTCCAGCCTTAAAATGTCAATTCCTCTTTGCCTCAACATAACTCATCTGCTTGTCCATCCTCCTCTCAGACGCTCCATGCTCTGAGATGCAGGGAATGCTCTCCGGCCTCCTGCCAGACTCGCAGATCTCGGCCTCCTCCATGAGGGACATCCACGGGGCCACAGGTGCGTCACGGCTGGTGGCCAGCCGCTCAGGGTGGTTCCCCAGTCCCACGCAGCCCGTGGCTGGTGAAGAATGGCTGCAGGTGGACCTGGGAGTCCCCAAAACTGTACGGGGTATCATCACGCAAGGGGCCCGTGGGGTGGACGGCAGTACCAGCGCGGAGAACCGGGCCTTCGTGCGGAAGTATAAACTTTCCCATAGCTTGAATGGAAAAGACTGGAGCTACATCATCGATTCCAAGACCAATCTCCCAAAGGTGAGAATGACACAGGATTTCTTTAATGCTACTTAGAAAAATCACAACAATCAAAACAAAGTTTTTTACTTTAAAGACAAAAAAAATTTTTATTTTATTTTTAGACTGCTTCCAAACAAAGGTCTCTTAATAAGATGAGAAAACAGTTAAAAGGGTTAAAGTGGTAATTGGCTGTACATAGACTCTAGCTGGTCCAGTCTGTTTCAGGTTGATCTAGTTGATTATCTAGGTGAACCTGGGTTTGACCTGGTCTTGACCTTGGTCAAAAGCCAGTTAAGCCAGTTAAACCACCTTGGACCAGTAAATACCCAGCTTGACCACCTTAAGCATGATATGTAGTCTTTTTCCAGCAGAGAAGGACTGAATTGAAAAATATAACTGGAGTTGAATTAGGTTAATTAGTTAATCATGCCAATTTAAATATTGTGGGTTGGTGAAAGGGCTCCAGTAATGAACAGTTAACCAGAATCAGATTATTAACAGACTCATTTCATTCTTTACTGCTCATCTCAGTGACTCAGCATTTCATTCTCCCACTCTGAGGGCAGAATTCAATTATGCTGCAAGCTCTGATAACATTCCAGTGAAATCATCCACAGTTGTGTTAATTAAAACCTGAGCTGCAGAGCTGCATCAGAGACTCAGAAATACAGAGAATGTGCAGTAGCTTTCTTCTCTCAATCACACAGCTGGGCTAAAGTGCTATTGTGAATTCTGCTTCTCCAGATTTTTGAGGGTAACACGCACTACGACACTCCAGAGATCCGTCGCTTTGATGAGATTGTGGCCCAGTTTATCCGAGTGTATCCAGAGAGATGGTCGCCTGCTGGCATCGGAATGAGACTGGAGATACTGGGTTGTGACTTGCCAGGTAAGACCTGTGTATGTTTTGTTTTGTTTCGTTTTTTATCTATTTATTTTTATTTATTTATGTTTAGTTTTTGTTTATTTAATAGTTTTTTAGTTATTTGTTTATTTTGATTAATTTTTGTTTTGTTTTTGCTTTTTTTACACGATGTCTTTGGGTGTGATACAAAGCAGATTTATAATAATCATGATAAACAGTTATTCCGCTGAGTAATAAAAGATCATTAGCTAAGCTGTATGCCGTTTACATTGCCTGTAGCAACTTCATATTAATATATAATGCTAAAGATGTGCGGTCACAGATGTGTGTATTCATTGGCTATTGGCAGCAAGTTCAACGAGGCTCATATCATCCAGATTTTACAGTCAGAATTATATGTTTTAATTAAAAATAAACCCAATACCCTCAGCTACAGCAGTAGAAAGAAGCAGAGCAGTCCTACAGCCACTCTGTCACTTCCATCTTTGCTCTCTGGCAACGATGTCCTTCATATCTCCTCTTGAATCTTTTACCTGTCACAGCATGACGATCAGCCAAAAGGACACACAGCTGCTCCCTCTGGACCTGGCCTGGGCTCTATAAAGCGGCAGGCAGAGGGGCAGTAATCGACAGACTGTCTTCATGGCTCTGTGTCTGCAGGAGTGCCAGGGGCGAATGAACATTAGAGGAGCTGCTAGAAAGGACAATGTGGGTGGAGGCCAGGGGAAGCCTCAGGGCTCAGTGCCCAGGTTTATTAGCATGACTGCAGGAGGAGGAAGGCATGATGAAAAGTCAGACAGAGAGCCAGTGCTGGCTCAGGGTTAGTTGGTGGCACTTTGCAGGCAGAAGATGAGATCCAGAATGAAAGCTTCATGTGTCATCGGCGGTGCTTAGTGCGATACTGGCACAGGTTTACAGAGCCTGTGGGCTATAAATGAATGAGAGCAGAAGATCAAGAGAGAGAAAGAGATGATAATCAATGCGGATGAAAGAAATAAGGGAGGGATCAAAGCCAGTGAGTGACGAAAAATGGACTGACGGTCGATTGTGTTTGTGTATACATGGTTATGTTTGCGTGAGGGAATGTGATGACAGTGCGGTGAGGCTCCGCAGCGCACAACTGCACACCAGATGTTCGAGACACAGGGGTCTCAATCTACTCCACTTACTGTTGAAACTACAGCCCCAGTTCCTAATCTCCACAGTAAATCTAATCACATACAGATCCCAAGACACACAAACACACTCGTGTGTTATTATATATACTTGCATGTGACTTTGAATTGTGTGTATTTTTCTTTTGTACTTTCTTTGTTTCTGCCCGTATGCACAACATTATGGCTGTTTCATTTCCTACCATCTGTTATGCACATCCTGGCTGATCACTACAGTACCGGTCCTCAAAGGAACCATTTGACAGCAAAAAACATACAGGCCTACGGTTTGAGTGAGATCGTCCTAATGCGGCTCGCAAATGCCAACTGTACTTTTATAAACTGTGGTTGGTTGCAGCTGTGGTACGAGAGTGAGTGAAGCAGGGTTTGAGTGTTTTGTTTTGTGTTTTTTGTTTTATTTTGTTTTGATTTTGGTTTTAGTTTTTATTAGGGATGCACTGATACCACTTTTTCCAGTACTCGCCCGATACAATACTTTTATTTTTGGTACTTGCCGATACCGAGTACCGATACCAATATTTTCATTGCATTTGTAAATTTTTTAAATATTGAGTACAGAAACCAAAAGAGTATGTATAGTGTTAGTTGGATACAGTCAAACCAAAATTCATTCAGACACCTTCAACATTTCTCACAATATCACAGTTTATTCGTTATAGTTTAGAAAATGGTAATAAAATATGACAACTCGGAGTTAAACTGTGTCAGAACAAATTCAGCTTGATAATGTCAGATAACTTTGATAGAAAGGTATTTAATGGATTACAATAAACCAAAAAATATTCATGCAGCTGTCAATATTTTCACAACTATACTTTGTCGAGTGACCCTTAGCCTTAATGACAGCATATAGTCTCCCGGGCATGCTGTCAACCAGCTTCATGCAAACCCGAACTTCAATTTTTTTCCCAGACTCGGTCTGAATAATTTTTGGTCCCAAATTTGTATCAATTTTACTGGTAGTCCACTGGATGAAGAATTTTTGGGTATAATATATCACAGTTTTCTTTATTTTAAATGCAGGGAACCACTCGCTATAAATCTCCTAACTGTGATATTTTCATAAATAGAAGTCGCATTTTTTTCATCTGAAACGTGCAGCGATTTATTTTCCAAAGTCACTCATATTATGCAGAAACACTCATGAAGCAAGCAAAACACGCACAACACGCACACGTATTTGTACTGGTGCAGAATGAGAGGGACAAGTACAGTACAGCCTAGCACATTTCACACAGGCTGTTAGTTTCCCTTTCGCCAGAAAGTCGTGTATGCTAAAGGGTGAAAATAAATTACGTTTATAGTGAATTCCCCTATAAATTGTCTTATATTTACGATTTAGTTTTAATCCAAATGATGCATGCTAAGTGTGCGAACATCCATAAAGATCACACAACAGAAGTGCGCGCTGTCTCTCTCTCCCTTCCTCCCTACCATTAGGTAATGTGTGCATTGTTTTACTTACTTCTTTTTTACATATCCGACCAAACTACAAACTTTCCAGTGATGTCTGTAAGAAAAGGATATTCACTCGACAAGCTCGCGCATCTGCGCCGCCGCGCACTCAATCCACTCAGCGTGCTTTGTTTATCAACTCGTGCACATCAGCTATACAGGCATTAATACTGAATGTTTTATATTCATTGCATACATATACTTCGTAGACATCTTTAATCTCTAATAACTCCATTCTGCTGTCTGTTGTCAGTGTTTCTTTGTCTGAATATTTCACTTATCACATGCTGTGTGGTATCGGCGTTTGGTATCGGGGCTCAGTATCGGTATCGGTGCATCCCTAGTTTTTATGTTTTGTCTTTACTTTTGTAAATTGTGATTGTTTACAGCTGTGGTGAGTGACACAGAGTTTGTTTGTTTTGTTTTGTTTTTATTTTTGTAAATTGTGGTTGTTTGCAGTTATGGTGCCAGCGTGAGTGAAGAAGGGTTTTATTTTGTTTTGTTTTTTACAATTTTTACAATATGGCTTTGGGCATGACACAAAATGGATTGATAATAATCAATAAACAATTCATGAAGGCTAATGCCTTTAGCAACTTCATATTAATATATGATGCAAATGATGTGCGATCATAGGTGTGTGTATTCATTGGCTATTGGCAGCAAGTTCAACGTTGCTCATCAAGGCAGATTTTACAGTCAGAGTTATCATTTTTAATTAAAAATAAACACAATGCCCCCAGCTACAGCAGTGTTATATACACTATTACACTTACATGTGATTTTGAACCATGTGTATTTTTATTTCATACTTTCTTTGTTTCTGACCGTTCGCATAATTTTATGGCTGTTTCGTTTCCTACCATCTATTATGCACATTCACAGTAATCACTACCAGTACCGGTCCTCAAAGGAGCCATTTGACGACAAAAAACATACAGACCTATGTTGAAGATCTCGTTTTTGTGAGATCGTCCTAATTCGGCTCTCTTAAGCACACTGTACTTTGGTAAATTGTGGTTGTTTGCAGCTGTAGTGCGAGGGTGAGTGTCACAGGGGCCGGGGCTGCTGTTGTTCTGATTTTGAAGGGCCGTGGGGATTCGTAGAGAGAGAGATGTCACGTTAAATATTCACAAGGCTACATCAGTCTCACTCCACTGCACAGAGATGTTTACGCCAATCACACACATCTGCCACCGCATGCATAGTGGTCTATACTGACCGAACACACACATGCACACATTTAATTTCATATAAAGAGAGCTTAATACAAGTTATTATTACATGTCGCTCTGGAATACTTGATTCTGAGTGGTATAATGATGGCATAACTGTAAAATTGACCATTGTTCCCAAGCAAACAATTTCTCTCGTATCATCACGTTTCTTTCTTCTCACATGCAAAAATAATTTAGACTCAAATCAATATTTAATGTCCATTTATTTGGTAAGTTGCCATGTAATAAGCAAGATAATGTCATCTAGTCCATGTCGTGGTTCTGATCATCCTGACAGGGTTTATTTGATGATAATGACCATTTAACTACATTACATATGCCAAACTGAAAATATATATCGTTAAATATATCATACTGCTCCTATATACTATACAAATACACACAAACTAAGGTCATGTATTCCTGGAGTTATTCTGAGCTGTAGCTAAGCTACAATTTTGTCCCCAAATCCCATCACTCTCCCAGAGGAAGAAAATTTGGAGTGAGGGACACGAGGAGAGAAATAATGAGTTGATGAATAAATAAACAGAGGTGTGGCAGACAGACCTTGTGAGAGCAAGACCGTGAAAGACACACCAAGGGACTTTAGATATTTCAATCAGGCACCCTTGTCTATTATTCATTGCTGGACTCATGTCAAGCCAGAGGTTCCTGTCTCTGGGAGAACAGAGAACGAGAGAGAGGGGTAGAAAGAGTGAGAACAGTGACCTCTGCTGGGTGCAAAGCGTCTCAAAATTGCAAAATTGTCTCAACATAGCGTGCAACCCTTGAGACTGGGCTTGCCTACTGTAGACGTCTCTCCCTGCTCAGTCTGAGTGGAGGTTCTGAGATTCAGGAGCACAGGGTTACTGCAGTTTAATTAGTTGAAGAATTAGAAAACAAAAATAAACACTACTGTACAAAAGTTTGGGGTCGGTAAGATTTTTAAAAATGTTTTTGAAGTCTGTTATGCTCACCAAGGCTTATCTAATTGATAGATAATTAAAATATTATAAATAATTGTTTTGTTTATAATATTTTGTCTCTATTTGTTAATCTTGTTAATCTCATGTTAATCTTGAGTACCTATAGAGTAGTACTGCATCCTTCATATCTCTGAAGAGTCTTTAGTTTTATCAGATTTATAAAAGACAGATACAGCTTAAAGGCACAATAT